TGAACAGAAATGTTGTGCAAAAAAAAAAAGAAATATTGCCTTTTTTGCAGCATTCAGAGTCCATTTTAATCAGGGCAATACTATTTCCAATACTGTTGATTTCATCAATTGATTCAGGATGCATTTCTATACAATTTTAACCAGAAAATTATTAATGAATCTGTTACTTTCTGTTACTAAATAATTTGGGGAAATAACAGCAAGAAGTAACTAGGATCCAATTCTATGAAAGTAAATCAGAATGCAACACAATTCTTGTTTAAACCTATTATTTTGGCCTTTGCAGAACAAAGAGTGTTTCCAATTCAGCGTCAATATAAATTCAAAGATAAACAAGGCTAAAGCTACCTGCCTTATCTTGCCCATTACCTGAAAGCTGCTGAAAACAGTTGATTAAATTGTGCCCATTGTAACTAAATCCCTGGAAAACTTTTGCCCAGAAAGGAACACTTCTGTTCTTTGAGTTGTTCTCCGAGTGCAAAACTGCATAAGCCAAGCTCATTTGTAACCTTAGTATATCATAAGCTGTGAAGTCACAGGAACCAAGATCAGAGATTTCTCAAAACTGCAGTAAGCTTGATATAGAATGATAGGCTAGAACTATTTTTCCCCTCTAGTTTTCTAAATAGAGATAATCTGGGGAAGCAGGAATATTCAGGTATGTGATAGTCCCACTGAAATCTGATAACGGATTATACACTTCATAAAAACCCAGTTTCATAGTAGCTGTGGTGGTGCAGTGGTTAGAATGCAGTATGATAGGCTGCTCACTCCAGGAGTTTGATTCTGGTTCAAGGTTTACTCAGCTTTCCATCCTTCTGACATCAGTAAAATGAGGACCCAGATTGTTGGGGGCAATATGCTAACATTGTAAAGGATCCAGAGTGCTGTAAAGCACTATGAAGCTGTATATAAATCTATGTACTTTTGCTAAAAGAGCAATTATTTCTAAATGAAACGTTAAGATCAAACAATATAGAAAATAGGAACCAAGGACAAAATGCGTATCACTCTGTATTGTTTATGTTTTGGTTCAGTATCCCACTATGATTGTAAATGATGATTTGTAGCTTTATGCTATCAGCATTCTAGAATATTTCTTATTCAGTAATTCATGGTTAAAAGCAGTATTATAACATGTCTGAACCAAGTCACACATACTTCTGGAATCTATAACCAAACCCTTGTCCCTTATGAAGCCATTTTTTCACACCTTGCAGTTTTCTCTTGTTGAAAGGTGCCAAAATGCCTTTCTTTCGAGGATTCGATTTTCCCGTTGGAGAGCTCCGGCGCAAGGATACGGACAATTGCTTGAAAGCTGGATCTTTTTATATTTCAGGAAGGTGGAGAACAGCGAGAAGTCTGCGTTCCTGGGCTAGCTAGCTTCTTATGGTAAGTCCCTGGTTTTTTATACCCTTTTCTCCCTTTGTAAGTTGATTTTGTGTGACTGTTTGTATTTGTGCCTAATGTTTCAAATCCTGTTTGAGTTTGTCTTTATTCCCGCCGGAGGGCAAACTCTGCGGGGTGCGGAAGGCAAACTCCGCGGGGTGGCCAGATTGTATTATTGGTTTTCTGTAATCTCTTTTAGCTTTAAGATAGTTTTTCATATTTGTTCTGTGGCAATCTCCTGTCTGTCCCTTTTGTAATTTATATTTTGTGTCTTTTGTCAGTTTGTCTTGCTTATTTGGTATGTCCTGTGTTTGTAAGGGTTTTCTGAATTATCTTTTGTTTCCTTTTTTCTATTTGTCTAGTTTTCTTAATTACTCAGGCTTTTGTCTATAGGGATTCTTTAATACTTTTTATTTGATTCCTTTTCCTATGTAAGTTTGTTTCCCCTTGGGCTTCTCCTGTTTTTTGTGACACTACTGCCTTCGTGAAATTCCCTTTCCACACTCTCTTTTTCTTCTCTGCTTTCCAAGTAGCCCCTCATTTCTGAACCTACTGTTGTTATATCATTTGAAATTATCTTCATTGATCATCAAAGCAGATGCCCATGATTCTTTCAGAAAGGTACAATTATCCGAGACTTAGTTTTGACACCGTGGCAAGGAAGATGAATCATCTGTTAAGCCACAAAAGCTGTGATCCAGTTAAGATTTCTAGAAAGCTTGAAGATCTTAGGATGTTTACAGCACTGCCTTTTACCTTTACAGATGGTTGTAAATGTATGCTGCCGCTGCTATATTATTTAAATGTATTTTCATTAGGTGAAAGGAGTCTGAGGCACTGCATCTGAGTAAACTACAAAACTCATGCTGACATGCACGCTAAAAAAATTACACAGTAAAATTCCATATTATCATGTAAATGGCAAAAGAAGTCACATGGGAGCCTGTGCTTTGTGCTGAGTGATAAAAAGCTGTGAGCTATAAATAAGAGTTAAATAAAAAACCTTGTCAATTGAAGCTGTGGAGGGAAAGAGCCTTCTAGGGGCTTTTGTAGGGTTTGAGGATTATTTATTTATATATATTTCATACTTCTAAGCTGTCCATCCCCCTCAAAAATTATAACTTAGTTAAGCATTTAAAGGTTCAGTATTTAACTAGGGCTAAAATAGCTAGGCTGCAAAAATGTGGATTTCCACTAAAATAGAAAAGAAATACACAAAACTCTTAACTCTTTGCCACCATCTAGAGATTGTCCAGAATTTTGCTTCTCAGATATAATGCACCTTTTTACAAACACCACAATGTTTTTGATTTCTGAGGGAATTATGACCACAAAGGTTCAAACAGAGCCCACCATTGAAAAACTGCTTCTTGAAAGATTGCAATTTACTAGAAGCTATAGAAAGAACCCTTTTTATTCTTTTCAACCTAATGAAATATTACACAGAAATTATGTAAAGGAGCTCAGGATTCTGTCCATCAGTCAGCAGGATTAACTCTGTGAAAGTGGAGCAGAACAGCAGCCTATTTGGTGTGGAGGAAAAAGCTGGCAAAGGGGAGTTCAACAATGGGTAAGATATGCTGGGGAGCTTCAGAGAAAAACATTCCAGAAAAAAAAGAGAGAGTTCCCTTAGTTCATCCCTATAGGAGAAGCACCGCATCAGAATGTTGCTGATGATTCCATTTTAAATTCTTCGCTCTTCACCTCTTGGTCAACAGAGAAAAAAACTGGATTGGAAATTTTTCCAGAAAAGTTTACTATGCAAATTATTCCTATTAACATATCCATCCCAATATCCATAGATTGCACAAGTATTTAGGCTACAGTATTTGATGTGAGGAAAGGGAAAATGATAAATTTCCCATTTTCTAATTTTTTTTTTTTTAAAAAAAAACATCCCCAGTGATTTTTTTTCTGCATAAAATTTTGTCACCAGAAATGTTTCTGCCTCACATCTCTCCTGGACATGTGACCTAAAAAAGCATATACATAACCTGCCCTATGTTTCCCAGGATACACATGCATATAACCAGACAAGATGCCCTGCAGAGAGAGACTAGAAATGCTTCTGTATCCCATTACACAGATAAAAATATACACACCAACTATGGGCACTGCAGATAAAGAACTAGAAAGAATTCAAGAACTCACGTTCTACCCACTTATTCTACCATCTTGTAAAAATCTTTCTGCTTCTGATCTATAACACTATATATGACAAAGTGATTAAAGTTGGTGGGAAATTAAGACTGTATTTCCCCCCTCTGCTTTCACTTGTACAGAACTGGTTCTTCCAAGTATCAAAAGATCTGAGCCCTAATATTGTTTCTGATACATAATATAAGTTATCAGTCCACACCAGCATATCCATATACAAAAATTACTAAGACATGCCTTCAACTAATTCATTAAAACTCAGAGGACTGTTGTGAAAAAGATGAAACTTCCATTCATAAGTGCTGGATTGAAGCACTGAACCTTAGCAAAAGTCATACTTTTAACTTCAGTTTCTGTAGGTACCACCACCACAGTCAGAAGAGAAACCAAACTGAAACAAAGTCCTAAATTATTCTTGGCAGAGATTTTTCATTTGTAATTTGTTTGCCAGAAACCAAAATGGAAAAGAAATTAACCAGTTGAAAATTGCTCATAGTCAAAAGTACAGTGTTTTGATAGTTCTGAAGGGCGATTATTACATCAGTCAAACAGTCAAGAATAGGCTGTGCTGAAATTTGAACTGATAGAATCAAAATGAAAGAATAATTATTTTCTTAGAAACATGTGGAAGGACACTTGTACAGACCAGTAAAATCTGCAAGGTGTATGTTTTATATAGCCTGTGGTACTCATCTGATTTTGAGTACTTTTAATGCAGGAAGTCAATCTACAAAAAATGTCTTCTCCCGATTGTGTGGAATAACTCTTATCACTAACTCTATTGGGCTAAAGAAAAATATCCATTCAAAATATGGAAAAAGAAATAATTCATAAAATAATGAAATCCAAAACTTGGATACAAAAGAGGCAAAACATTAACACATCTTTACTGAAATATCCAGTTCTTTAGTATATTACAGAAAGGCTTAAGAACATGTATCGTACCTAAAATGCAGACTTTTTTTAAATAAAACGATTTTGTATTTATATATATGTATATATAAAAAGAAAGTAAAGTGCAAGAAACTTATTTTTCCCTTCTCCAAATTAATGCATCAAAATTTACTACATTGACAATACTATAAACCTGGAAATACCCCACCTCCATTTTATTATATAGTAGTGGGTTACATATAAAACAGAAATGCTATGGAACCACTTTTTTTTTTTTTTTTGCCAAATGCTTCTAACTGTTAAGGGATAAAAGGTATTAACAACAGCGTCTTTTCTGCACTTATTACAACTATTGACTTTGTCGCTGTCCATTCTGGCTGGAAATTCACTAGAAAATGATGTTCTGTAAGTGGAGCTACGATATCTAGATATTAAATTAACAGTATTATGTAAAGATGTTTTTTTTAAAGGTGTGACAAAGAAACACACGTAGCTATTGATGCCCACTGCCAACCATAGCTTTTGTACGACCTTTTAATTTGACTTCAACATTGCAGATTAGGGGTAGAAGGGGGCATTATTACATCTAATACTGAAAAATTGGGGGGGGGTGGAGTTATGACATTTTAATCCAGCTTTAATATGGCACCCTCCTGTTGAACAGGATTACAACTTCTATCACCCTTGGCCAACATGCCAGCTGGGGCCTGGTGTAAGATGTGGTTCAATGCATCTAGGAGGTTCCCAGGGTGCAGAAGGCCATGTGAATGCATCTCTCCCAAACATCCAGGCCTCCTCAACAAGAAGAGTGAAATTGGCAGCAACACGCTTTTTCTTCAGGAACTTAACACTAGGAGTGTCAGATAAAGAAAGATCATATTCTGCATATAGATTCCAGGAACAAAAGTATCTGAGAGACAAGAACTAGTTCAGCTACTGGCTATTCATCCTCACAAAACAAAAACTCTGAATCATGGTCATTTTTAGCTGGGCTTGCCACATATTCTTCTGTAAAATCACAGGAACATTCTGCAGGGAGGGGCTCCTGTCAACCCCCAAGTGGGTTCCAGCGTCGATTTCCTTTTAGGGATATTGATTCCCCCAGGCTCTTGAATATGGGAAAGACCCCCTTCAGACGTCCTTCTCCTCATTCTTGAATCTCTTCCGAGTCTCATAAATCCAGGCCGTTTCGCCAAAGAACATCACGGAGCGGCGGCCTTGGCTTTGCAGTGCAAAATGTGCTTATGGACAAAGTCGATTCGCTCCTGGAGCAGCTGGGCTTGCTGGTCGGAGAGGAAGCCGAGAATCTCGGCCAGAGGCTCCCGAGTCCGGTAGAGCCTGAGCAGCTCGGACGCCGCGTTGCGCAGGCGGTGCAACTCCCGCACTCTCTGGGCGGTGGCCTCGCGGAAGACGCAGACGGAGCGGAGCAAAGGCTCGTTGTATTTGTCCCACATGGCCAGCAACCGGTAGCCGTGCACCAGGCCGGCCTCGTTGTCGAGGAAAACCAATCCCCCGTTGGGGGCCCGTTGCAGGTTGCTGGTGGCTCGATGCATGACGCGCGGGTCCCACTGCAGGCTAAACAGGTTGCTGACCAGCCGGTCGAAGTTGGCCGTGAGATAGTCGAAAAGAATCAAGTCGCTCCACTGCACCAACTCCACCAGCTGCGTCTGGCTGAGGCCTCTCAGCTCCCCCGCAGCCAGGGGCTGCAACCTCCGGCCGGCCGCCGGCGCCCCCGCCTCAGCTTGCCAGGGGGCGGGGGCCACCACGTCGGTCAGATTGTCCACCCACCGCGCCAGGCTCACCACGGCCCCTTCGGCCCAATGGGAGCCGCGCAGCTCGTCGCGCACTTCCGCCCACTGCCCGCCGCGGGCTTCCACCCGGGAGAGAGTCAGAGGCGGTAGCCGCTCCTGAATGCCCAGCAGCCCGGCCAGGTGATAGGAGAGCGCCTCGCCCTGGATCTGCTCCGGGTTGATGCCGTAGCGCACGCAGGCGCGGCTCCCGTCCGATAACCGGGCCAGCCGGTTGGAGCTGCGGCCGCAGCCGCCGCGCTCGAGCGACACGACGCGCGCCTCCCGGGCCGCCCGCAGCCACGAGGCGGTCTCCTCCGCCGAAAAGCCGGGCGGCACCTGAGCCTCCAAAGTCTGGCTCCAGAAAACCCCGCCGCGCACCGGCAAGAAGGGAAACTGCTCCTCGGCGCCCATTGCTCCTTGCCTCTCCCGCCGAGGGTGAGCCGAAGGAAGCGGCGGCTCCTGCCCGCTTTCTCCCTGCCCCTCCTGGAGCTCCGTCGACTGTCCCGGCAGCGTCAGCAGCGCTCGGAAAGTTTTCTGGGCGGCTTGGAGGCGACTTGTCTGGAGGGGACGGCTCGGTGCTGCCGGCGCGCCTTGGACGCTGCCGAACGCCGAGTCGGCTCGCTCCTGAGGGAACTTCAGTTCGACCGTTCTCGGGTCCCCGATCCGTCCACTCCACAGCCCCACCAAGGAAGCCAAACCTAGCAGCCAGAGCACGGCCACGGAGCCCAGCCCGGCCAGACCCGCTCGTTGCATTCTCCTCCCGCGGCTGATGCTGAGCTTGGAGGCTGCCGCGATCTCAGTCCGCCGCTCCGGGACTCGGCAGCTGCGCTACCCCGCGGCTCATCCGATCGGGGCTGCCTTGGTTCATGGTGGCTGCCGGTGGCCGGTTCCAGATTCCGGCAGGAGCCTGCCTAAAAAGCCGGCAGGGAGGCTCCCGTGGAAGGAGGAGGAACCCCGATTCCGGACGGACGCCCCAGCCTCGGCTGCGGGGCCGATATCTGTACACAGACCCCTCTAGCGATTGAAATTCTCAAGAACCGACACCACGTGGGGGAGGCGAGGGGGGAGCACAGGGACCCAACCCACCGCCCGACACGGTCTTCCCCTTAAAGCGGCAACGGCTCGTCGAGAGGTGGGCCCGTTGCTGGCCGATGCCTTCCCGGTGGGGTGCTTCCCCCAAAATGGGAGGTCCTTAGGCACGCCCCGAATGCCGAAAGAGCCCTTTGGGATCCGGTTTCGGGGTCGTGGCGACGAGGAGTAGCAATCTTCGCGAAGGGATGGGCTAGGCGGCCGACCATCTCTCAGCGCTCCTCCCTCCTCCCATCCGGCTTAGGAAGCACAAAGGATTCGGTCCGTTTAAAAGAAAAGATGGGAGAGAGGCACATTGCGCTGCTGATTTCAAAGAGCTCTTTCTTTGAGCGGGAAGAGAGGAGGAGGCGGCAGCACGGAACAGTGGGAGAGAAATATAGTCTGGGCGGCAATCTGGGGTCAGTTCATTCGTAATGAGCAAAGGCACCCGAAGGTTGCTTGCGGAGCGCTTGAACCCTTGATCAGGGCTTAAAAATCCCGTGCGGCTCAAATAAATAAATAAACGAACGAACGAATGAATGAATAGATAGATAAATAAATAAATAATCTGGCTGGGGTTTCTTAGCCATGCAAATGGACACGTTTGAACTCTGCTAAGCATAATCGGCGTGCGATGGGTGAATGTACATTACTTTATGCACGGATGCTTCGATTTAGGATTGTAGTGAAATCGGTAGAAATGTCTTCTCGCGCCCCCCTCTTCCCCCTCAGGATTTTATCCACCGTTGATTTTGAAGAACCATTTTAAGCCATCCTTGAGTGGGCAGAAAATAATACCTGCGTGAAATTTGCCGCTCCCAGTTGCCAATCCCTGCCTTATTCTACTTCTGTTATTCTCCGCTTCAAATCACTGGCTTTCATCCAAGTTAGGTGACAAATGACAAAACGGAACAGATTTTACATAGCTTGAAGCTGTCCTTGGATGGTGCCCAAATGTGGAGGAAAGTGCTGCGGAAATACCAATACAAAGAGAGTCTCAAGTCCAGATGAAGGCAAAATAACAAAGGGACATTGCAGGAAAAAGAGGTTGCAGTGGCTTGTGATCAACTACAAGTGGGGAGTGGCCCCTTTTCAGTAGAAAAAGATAAGCTCCAGTGTGAAGGAGGATCCAGCAGGAAGCTTCTTCTAGGAAAAGTGGGGCAAGCAGAAGATCCAGACAACTGGCCAGGACAGAAGCAGCACCTTTGCTCTGCTTCACCCCTTCCCCCAGTTTATTCCCCACCACTGGAGAACCTGGAAGCAAAATTCAACTGTAGTCTGGTTAGTGTCTGCAACATGGAATTGGGAAATGTTTTGTTCTTTATCTCTTATCTGTAGCAGGAGCTTTCTGAATTATATTCCTTGTGTAATAAGAAAGCTCCGTTAGCTAAGTTTTATTGATTTGAGTGATTCCATTAGTTTAGGAGCACTTAATAGATTGGAATGGATCACATGTGACTTCAGAGCCCCTTCATCCTTTGGGATAAACTAAAGATGCCCCAGTTTCCCTTCTTTTCCATTCTTGGTTGTCGTGAATTTATAGGATTCCTCAGGTGGTTGAAGAGTGAAGCCATCACAATGCAATATTTCCTTGTAGGCAGTACAGAAGGGTAATGTAGTTGAGAGAACTAAAAGTCCAACCAGAGAAGAAGGGTTATGCTCTATTCATCCACATTCCACCAGAGAAACTAATGTATTTCCAGTAGTTTCATATTAAGATCTAAATCTAAACAGAAATGGATCCAGGTAATCTGTTTCCTCCAGAGTGTCTATGGAGATTCTCAGTCATCCAGGTCATGGTTGTCCCAAAGGTGATTTTTTCAAGTGGCAACTGGACTTTCTGTTTTTTCTTTGAAGACATTTCACTTCTCATCCAAGAAGCTTCTTCAGGGACTGTGTACTGTTCAGTTCAGTGAGACTTGGTTCTAAATAGATAGTTTGTAAACTGACAGCTCCATAGGAAATTACACAGGCTTAAGTTATTCCTCTTTCTCTTCTGCAACCTAAGCCTTTTTTCATTTTCTAATGTCCTGATTCTCCTGGATATTATGGCTAAATCACAATGTGCTTCTGTTCCACCCCCCCCAATCAATACTCCTCTTGACTAGGGACAAACTGAAATAATAATATTTTATCCAAAATAAAATGCTGCTACTTTATAACAGAGATCTCATCTCATATCAAAGAAAAATGTATAGTAGTGATTGTTTATTTATGGGCCAAGTCCAATCTGTTACATATACAGAAGAAGCATTCTTGTTTTGGCCATTTTCCTCAATGCTCAACAGTATACAATTGCTAGGAATGTGCTATTAATTTCCCATTAGCAGTGTCATTGCAAGGTAGTTATAAAATGGCAGTGATACAAATTTGCTAATTGTTAGCAGTCCAAGAGTCTTTCAGCTTATTTGGTTCACTGATGTTCAGTTTTTAAAAAAAGTTAGTCACTTTGTCCACAAGGCTTATAAATGACTCAAGTATGATGGCAACCCTGCAGTGTCCCAGCTGGCCCAGCTCATCTGAACTGACATGCTAGATTGAGCCAATTTTCATATGGGAAATTTATAAGGGCTATAAAATAAATTCCTCGAATAATTTCTATTGAATATGACATAATGTAACATTGTGATGAACATCATTAAAGCATCATCCCTTCTTGCTATTTGTCAGTAGCGTCCCTGAATACACAAGCAGGTTCCCCTAAATCAATATAATATGTGCTTTACTGAAGTTTAATCCAGTTGCTGTTACCGATAAAAATGGTCCTCAATTTGATTACTGAAGGAAGTTTTGCTAGTCTTCAAGTAAAGTATGAACTATCTGCAGTGGAATTTCCTTCATCCCTGATATTAAAATTGTATTATCGCTTCTCCCTGTCATATATTAATCCGCTAAACCTAATTCATTATTTACACAACTAATAAAAGTGTTCAGTGTTTTTAATATAAAATGACAAGTTTTATAAGTAATTGATCATCCATATTGTCTTGCCAACATTGAGGGCTCCACCAAGTGGAGAAAACTGGGAACATATATAGGTTGACATAATTGAAGCTTCACACATATCATTTTCATAATCTTTCCAAAACGATTAAATAGATTATTATCCCCTGGGATGAGAAGGAAGAATGGAATGGAGAACTTGTTTTGAGATGGCAGGTGGCTTGGGAAAGGTAGAGATTGATGGTTTCCTATTAAAAAAATCAGCAACCTGTAGCCGGTTAGTTGTTCTGAAATACAATTCCCAGCATCCTTCACCATTAGATATGTAGGATGACTACAACTCTTACAGAAAATGACATATTCCACTGTCACAGTACATGTTTAAAGTCTTTGAGTTGGATTCCTTGTGACCATGTAAACATGTCCATGTTTTGTTGGGAGCCTTGTGGAAGTGGCTTGCAACTGCCTTTCACTTCCTAGATCATCTTACAATTTCTAGGATTGTCTGGTAATCTTCCATCCATGTATTCATCAAATTGATACTGTTTAGTTTTTGAGATCATCCAAGATTGTTTACCTTCAACTGTTCTGGCATATTTGCTCAGCTTTCATTCAGAAAAGGATGACGAGGATTGCAGGATGACCAATTATATTGTGCTAATATACTGAATGTTGTGTAATTCTTTTATTTGGTAATTGATTAAATCCTATATTTCCAATATAAACAGTGTTCAGGGGAATAACATCACTAAAATGCACGATAACATTAAAAATCCTGATTAAAACATAAAACTGAAGGAAATAAAACAGATCCATAAAATATGAGATTGACAACATTCATCAATGTAAAAATAGCTTTCGTAATGGCAGTAATCCAATGTTCTATTTTAATGTGATACTGTTTTAGATTCTTTAGCACAATGTAATGCAAAATCTTTAAAAAAACATATTTCAATTTGATATGGAAAGGATAAAAAAAGAAAGAATCCCACTTTTCTAACCCCATATCACGATGCAAAGAAACTATCCTTTTCTAGGTAGAGTTAATGAGCAATGGCTTATTTCTAACCAGAAGAACACATTCCCCCCACCACACTTCTTGATTATCAGTAGAGGCAGTATTTTAGTTTAATTGCGCACAAAACTTTGCCTCCAACAATGTCATGCTTACTCCACCTGCAGGCCAACAGTAACTTCGCCATTAATTTCTGTGTGTACACAAAATAAATTAAAAGTAACAATAGCTAATAAAAGGATATTAAAAAGCAAGATAAGGTAATTAAACAGTGCCTTTGAGAGTTTGCCTTTTTCTTAACCAAAGTAGAAGAGAGAGGAGACAAGAACATTATTCTATGAGCATGGATACCCTGCCCCAATTTATTTCCTTTTGTAAGGTGACATATTGAAGGGAAGGTATGTTTCTTGGGTCAGGAAT